TGGAGGAGGACTTTAGATTTAAAAGAACGAGGGAAAAGGTAATCCTGGACTCTCTTTTAAAGATAAGTGGTGAAAGAGATGAAAGATATGAATGAATGATATATTATAGGATCTGAAATCAAGATAACAAAAGGATGATTTTGTTCTCAAGCACCAGGAAATCCAGTGATAAAATAAGAGGAAACCCTTGAATGAACCTTTGAAAGGGTGTGTATGTAGGAGGTATGTATGTATGTGTACCCGGTTATTTATACTTCTTCGTAGGTAATAAGTCAAAGTGTTGATTGATTTGATTGATTGATTGATTGGATCCGTCTTCTGTGGCTTGTCGTGCTTGTGTGAACTGGAGATAGTGCGGTACTTGGATACTTGGATGCTCTGGATGAAGTTGAAGAAATTCCAGAAGGGAGAACGAAGTCTATGAGAGTTAAGTAAATAATCCTCTTCTTGTTGTTCATTGGAATTCGAAAGTATTTGAATGGGGTATGCGGTGTGTAATGTTAAAACATTTATGGCAGTATATGTGAAATAGAAACAAAGTACTCGTGGGTATCCAATGCAAAGAGGTTTTAAGAATCAGGAATAAGCCGTAAAAGAAAAGAGATCTTTAAATATTGGTTGACGTTGTTGTTGTGGAGGATTCCAAGTTGGTATGATATGGTATGGATGGTATGGTAGTATTTATATTGATATGTTGTTGCTCCTAGTTGTAGATCATATTTCTAGAATTTTAGAATACGGAGGTTATAGTAATAATAGTATTGTACTGTAAATGACTACTTAGAGAAGATGGATGTAAAATTTTAACATCGGAATCAATATGGGCCAAGAAAGAAAATGGTCAAATAATCAGCCCATTATATTTCGAATTTCAATAATCTAATAATATAATAATCCAGTAATCCATCCATCCAAATCATTCACATCATTCCATCAACACAAAATGATACGAAAGTACCCTTTGTACATGCCCCGTTAGATACATACCCAGTATGCAATCAGTCTGAATGGCACGAGAGCATTAAAAAAATGGCCGGAAACAGGGGCTAGATTTGATAACGAAATGTTCCGTCCCAATAGCCATGTTTTTGCCACGGTTATATTCTGGCTTGACGAGATTGAATCTCTTGAAATAATAAATATTATACATATAGTAAGTAGTACTTGTTAGATCTTATATGTTGAAGAGATTGTAAAGATATAGTAGATACTCTATATATATCTGATGCTTTGAAATCATACGATAACACATACATCTATCTACCTATCTACCACTAGTATCAATTGTCTTAAACAATCTCTTCCTCTTCAAATAATTCTTGCCGCCACAATACATGTAAAATGCTTTGACCGTTGAATCGCATGGTTTGTCCTGGTCACTCAATACTCCTAGCTCAAAGTCCTGGTCGGTGAACCACACCTCTATTAAAAAAAGCGGGAAATAATGTGGCACGTGAGCATGCTGATTAATCAAGTAGTCATGTCGCAGAAAAGCTGGAATGATTGGAATGTACCCCTGCACATAACTACTCCGTACCTAGGTACATAGGTGGTACAGAGTATGATAATGTCTAGACCAATGGTGGCTGATGTAAGCAGTTACCTAAGCCTGAAACGCCCCCGCCATCAACTCACTTTGTGTGACCGGCAAGTGCCGAACTCAAGATTTTTTTGATATCGGTAATCAATGATAGGTAAACACTGCCGAACTTTCATGGCGAGGAGTCGATTTTTATTTCTTAACATATTACAATCACAACACAACTACATTCATTATGTTAAGAAATCCTTCAACGAGGTTTCTTAGGAGGGCCCTCTCAACGCAAAGAACCATACCCAACGTTTTACCTGCTTTACGTTCAAGAAGTTTGGCTACAGTCGTAGAACCTATACAAAAGGTACCAGTTGATAGTAAATCCAACTTCTCAACGCCACTAACGTGAATATAGGACCCCGTAGAGTTAGATCAACTTACTACTCTTCCCAATGGCGTTCGTGTCGCAACTGAAGCATTACCCGGTCATTTTTCCGGTATTGGAATATACATTGATGCAGGGTCTAGATACGAAAATGAGGATCTTAGAGGAGTCAGTCATATAATGGATAGATTGGCATTCAAATCCACTTCGAAACGATCAAGCGATGAGATGTTAGAATCGATAGAATCTTTGGGGGGAAATATACAATGCGCCTCATCCAGAGAATCTCTGATGTATCAATCTGCCACATTTAATTCTGCGGTACCAACCGCTGTCGCCTTACTTGCCGAAACCATACGCAATCCTTTGATCACCGAGGAGGAAGTCGAGCAACAGTTGGAAACTGCTGCTTATGAAATTGGTGAAATTTGGTCCAAGCCAGAGTTAATTCTCCCGGAAATTGTACATATGGCTGCATACAAGGGCAATACTCTTGGAAATCCTCTATTATGTCCGAAAGAGCGACTTTCAGAGATCAACAGCGATACTATACAAGCATACCGGGATACTTTTTATAGACCTGAAAGAATGGTAGTTGCATTTGCGGGTGTACAGCATGACGAAGCAGTAAAGCTTGCTGAACAACATTTTGGAGATATGCCAAAATCAGCTCCCCTCTTGTCACAAACTGGATCGGAAACATCTTTCGACTCATCATCGAGTGAAACCAGCAGCAATAGCTCAATATCATCCTCTTCCTCTTCGCCACCACCACCATCACCTACACAAAAGCCATCCACCTTAATATCACGTATCCCATTCTTCAAGAACATCTCCACTTCCGCACCCAAGAACGCCTCGGTTCGAAATGGTTTTATAAACCCCCTTGACCTCAACCATCCCTCACATTATACAGGTGGATTCCTCTCACTCCCTTCTCTACCACCACCAATGAACCCCTCTCTCCCCGCGTTGAGCCATATTCACATCGCTTTTGAAGCTCTTCCAATTTCCTCGCCAGATATTTACGCCCTTGCCACTCTTCAAACCCTCCTTGGTGGTGGTGGATCATTCTCTGCCGGTGGCCCTGGCAAAGGTATGTATTCACGCCTTTACACCAACGTCCTCAATCAACACGGTTGGGTTGAATCCTGCATAGCGTTCAACCATTCGTATACCGATTCTGGACTCTTTGGAATTTCCGCATCATGTTCCCCAGGTTACGTCAAGAATATGCTCGATGTTATGTGTCGGGAACTTCAAAGTCTTACTCTCGATACTGGATTCAATGCATTGCAAACCGCAGAAGTCAACCGTGCGAAGAATCAACTGAGATCCAGTTTATTGATGAACTTGGAATCAAGAATGGTAGAACTAGAGGATTTAGGAAGACAAGTACAAGTACATGGAAGAAAAGTGGGGGTAAGAGAAATGTGTAAGAAAATCGAGGAATTAACCGTCAAAGATTTAAGAAGGGTGGCTACACAAGTCTTTGGAGGCTTGGTGAATAATGCAGGACAAGGAAGTGGTAGCCCAACTGTGGTTTTACAAGAAGGTGAAGAGGAAGGAAGAGTGTACAAAACTTTCAGTTGGGATGATATTCAAGAACGAATTCACGGGTGGAAATTGGGAAGATGGTAAAGAAAATGCTATCATATGTATTGATGGAGAATAAGATCCCCTATGTAGGTTGGATCTTTGTATAATATTTATGGATGAAATGATGAATGCATGAAATGCGTGTGAAGCATACATGGCGTTTTCTGATTATTTGGAAGGGAAAGAGGGGAGGCTGAAACCAGAAATTAAAAACCTCTCGTTATTTATCTATGTAGTATTTGTGTGTGGGTAGGTGGGGGATATCAATAAGAGATAGAGATAACAATAAAGAAGGAAGATACTCGGTGTAATAAAAATAAATATACACCTATCCGTTTCGTTTTTTCAAATTAAGATTCAAAAAGGTAGGAGAGTAATATTAGGATTAATTTTTGTTATATCTAGTATTAATATTATATTTTTCTATTATTAATAAAATTATCTCTCCGAATCTTCTGTTACGACGGCTTCGGATCTCGTATCATGTGACCAATTATGTAATCACATGGTCCCTTAGATCCCCTCGGTCTCTTGATCGAAGGGACCGAGGGGACCAAGGGGACGATTAGCATGAAGGTCTATATAACCAAGATGGATTTTCTTTGTATAGAGCTTCGTGCTCAAGATCAATCATTTAGTATACTCTACTATTAGTTACGAATTGCATATCGTTATTGTCATTACTTTAAGTCCCTGCTTGACGCCTAGTTATAAACTACCTCGAGAGCCTAGGGCACTTCCACGTGATCTAGACGGCAAACCTCGTAACACAGCACTTGTGGATATTATAGTATTTAATGTTATGTTTTTGGTCTTGATTATATATTGAATAAGTATAAAAACGGGTTTGGGATATTGTAAAGAGAATTAAATTGTTTATAAATATTTAGTTTTTGTAATAAAGTTGAAAAAAAGAAAAAAGATTCAGATGGAAAATATTGAGGTTTGTATATGAAGAATTAAGAATCTATATCTCAGGAATACTAATCTTCATATTGGTGCTGTACAAAAAAAGTTCGCATTTGTAGAAAGTCCGTAGCGAATTCAATTAGTTGTTTGTGATAGTTCTTCTGGATATGTTTGAGGTTGATTAGTGGTGAGTAATAATCCATGGTATAAACCTTCTGATATCGATTACTCCTAACAGAATGCTTCGAGAATGTATGGTAATTAGTTATATTATACCATATGGATCTACTTACTCTCTAGCTACCGGATTTTTTAGTCAAGCTTAATTGTAAGTCTTATATCTATAATTAGTGCACGTCTAGATCTAATATAATACTAATCTAAAGTATGATATAAAAACTTATCGAAAGATAGTTATAGACCCCTAGGATAATCAACACATATAATAAATCGAAGAATAGAGTATAAAGAATGAAACGCAAGTATGTACCTGCTGTAACTATTTATTAATTTCAACCAACTGCCTTCATTCTAGGTCACAATTACAATGTAATAATTAGCGAATTTGTTTTGAGGAGTAGTTTTTTCACTTCCGGCTTACTATTATTATTTATATAAATACAAGATACCTATATATTGAAAAGCAATCACACGGTCTTCATTCCTCGTTCAATTGATTCCCATTGATTGAATTAGCGACAAGTGTGACATTACCTCTACCTACTTCTCCCAGATGTCATCTCCAAGCGAAAAACAATCTAACGAATAATAGATATCTTAGATGTACGCACGGTAGGATCTTAATATGAAAGTTATAACGTTCTAAGGAGAAAAGAACAGATTGCTATTGGTAGAAACAGATATTTATTTATTATACAATGACATAGCTCGTTGATTACCCTGGTTGTTGATCTTCCAGATTTTTCCTGTAATTATGTATTGGAGTGATGAATTAGTTGGATAATATAATTGATATTAAGAATCATGATCAAGGAAGACATTGATAAACTCAAGATATTCATATTCGATGATTTGGATACTATAATTACTAGCTCTTTATGAGATCGGGTTGTTCCTTCCATCAATAGCATTAATTATTCGACAATGTATTCGCAATTGTTCACTCCTTCGGATCCTAAGTTACTAGAATAGCGTGAATACTTACTTCTATCCCTAGCGGGCTATTTACCTAGTACTCTTCCCTATTTCAACTCATCTCGTAATCACCATTAGTCCTTCATAATGTGTGATATCAATAATAATATTAATATAAAATCTTATTTAGGCTTGGAATTTACTTACTTCCCCTAATTATCGCTTAATCTATCCTCTCTTGTTAATTGTATATATGTATCAATATCAACATTAATATCTATATATCAAATATCCTCCCACCCAAAAAGTCTAACCAGCTATGCAGCAATGGCAATAAAAAGCCATCAAAAAATCAGAAAAGCATCAATCCCAGCCTTCACTAACCGATTCTGCGTCATATATATATACCCACAATGCATTCCAAAAGCCCAATCATACCTCCCTACTTCAAATACAAATACAAACACAAATTCTTTGTCAAAGATTATATAAACTTCGAAATTATAGCCAGTGAAATTTATATATAAATCTTCAGAACTTAATCTTTTCTATTAATTATATCTTGGAGATTATATTATATGTTAATAAAACTTGATACATAAGATCAAGATTCGAAACTTCGAATTTGATTTACAAATGACTAAAATAATTCATATATAGACAGGAAGAAGAAGAAGATATAAAAATAAAGTTTATTTTATTGATAAAAAGAAAAGAAAAAAAGAAGAAGATCTCCGTCTAATTATAGCAGATATATAAATATAAAAATGAAATTATATTATTACTAATATAAAAAAGAAAATAAATAATAATAATAATAATAATAATAATCGTGATGATTTATTAAGGGTTTTAAAAAAGGGATTATTAGATTAAATAAAGTTAAATATCGTTGATGATGACCTTTATATAAACTATTCGATTTTCCTCTTGATCTTTCTATCATTTTATATTGATTAATACAAAGACACCAGCAGTTGACTAGTAGTATAGAAAATAACCTAATGATTAATATTTGTCCCTAGGATTTTCCATCTTCATCTCAGACTTTCTATGACGGTATAAAAGTAAATAATAAATATATAAAAATAAATTGATGGAAATATAGAGAGATCTTTTTTAAAGAAAAGAGTTGACAGTATGGGTATACTAGCGCTTGATATAGAAAATATAAACTTTCAATAATTACCTAGATAATCTTACATTAAATAAGTAATCGAGATGGTTGATGAAGAAAAAGTTAGGGTATTGTTGACAGAAATTGGTAATTGTTCTAGCTGGGTAAGTTATAGAGAAGTGAAGTTTATAAAAGTTTGTGAGGAATAACTTTGTGTTATATTGTGTTACGTAGTGTAGTATATCATATCATATTATATTGTCAATTTCATATTGCTCTTCGAAGATTAAATCTTACTATTATTAAATTTTATAGACAATCAATTCTCAAAGATAGATTAATAATTCTATACCAGATCGATTCTTAAATCTAATTATTTATTGATCTACACCTACTAGAATCCTTCATCATTTATCTCTTGGAAACGTATAGATGGAGGACTTGTTTACTTTTCATCGGATTTTTAGTTACGTTGAGATCATTTGGAATGAGAAGGACACAAGAAATGAACCTGAATAAGAAAAGAATGCGTGTAGCATTTTAGTAGTAAACATAGATCGTTAATCTTATATTATACACACTTCTTGATAATGTAGTGATATGATGGGTTAAAGGAAGATTAGACACAGAAATAATACCACAAAAAATATAATAATACTATAGAAACCGAAAAAAACGAAGAAAAATAAGCGGAAAGAATTATAATACTAATACAGAAATAATCCGTTCAATCGCTATTCACTATTCACCATTCACCATTCACCATTCACCATTCACCCATAAATAAAATAAATAATCAAGCAAAACACACTATAACTCCCAACGAAGCAAGTAAGAATACCCAGCTAAGATTACCTAAATACGTCAAGACGACATCAAAAAACTATTAACACTCTGCAACGTCGCGCGACTGGGATTAGCATCCGGCATCGAAGTGGAAATCCACGATAACCTCCTGCGAATAAAATCCTTATTAATAACCGTGGGAAAATCCCCCCCATGCCTCACTTCCAACACACCATCATCGTTGAAATAAAGACATAGTAGGGCAAGCGCAACACCTATTGAGAGATCTTGTCCCGATTCGCATGCTATGATTATTTGTTGGTGTGGAGTGGAGGATTCTTGTGAGTTTTCGAGTTTTTTGAGGTTTGGAATGATGAATGAGGTGATATCTTTGAGAGCTGCGCGGAGATTCTTGCTGCCTACTTTTTTGCTTCCGAGACCGATGTCCATTCGTGAGGGAGAGGTGTACCATGTATCTTTGTGTGTGATTTTTGGTAAGAGTACAATGATGCAGGTACTGGTATTATTTTCCAGAGATGAAACTGTATCGATAGTCGAAATGGAAAGACATGAAGTAGGTTTCACGAGGCGTAATTTGTTGTTTGATCCTAGAAGAGACGAGCTAGAGTGGTTTATTAACGTCTCAATAAGCTCAGGGAGATCTTCTTCTGATGTTTCAAGTAATTGCTGTTGATTCGTCCAGAAAATATTCGGAGTGAGTCCATGAGCCCAATTTTCCGTATCGTCTCCTGCCCCCTGTATATAACCCCCCTCGCTAACTTCTCCCCCAGCAACCCTTCGCGAAACCGTACAGCAAATAACAGGATGAAAATCTTCAAAGACATCGCCTGTATTAGATACTTGCGATTCAGGAGTTACCCAAATGGGTCTTATTGGCTTGCGAAGTTTACTTCGAAAAGTTTCAATGGGTAGATTGAGAGCTTGAAATGCTTGTACGAATTGAGGAAGTAAATTCGTTATTTGAGCATGTTCGGAATCCGAAACTACTTGTGGTGGAGCGTATAGCTTATGGGCTGTTGGATTGCTAGGGAAAAAAACGCGGTTCAATATACAACACCATATTGGTATTGTTTTGCTTAATGCATCGGGCATGCCTTTCAATTATTAGTATACTGGAGAAGAAAAAAGAATGCAAGAGATGACTAACGCTTTCCGCGCCTAGTAGAATCTACAATGATACATCTGCATGAACTTTCAGCCTGTAGCTCAATAAATATAACTTGAGTACACACCCGTCATTATCACCGATTATCTCTAACAGATGTAAATTCAATCTTCGCGAGCTAAACTTCCAGACACCTGTATGGCCATCTGTACTTTTGAAGTATGCACTACCTCCTTTCTTATTCGGATTAATGTACCAGCTGCCACATCTCTCATTTGCCATAAGCGGTCTATTGTAGGCATTTGCAACAGATTCGGCAAATTCTGCATCTTCGAGAATAGATCGAAGCCGATTGTGAATAGATAGAGTGGCTCGTTTGATCTCACCAAGGGTCTTTGAGAAGTTGTGACTTGCTTGCTCATTGAATACAATATCCGCAACGGTTAAAGGCATTTCAGGAGTTGGCTACTTAGCAGTGAGTGAAAAGCCTACCTTAATTTTGATATTTGGAGGTGCTGTAGGTTTTATCAATTGGGGCGGTGAGAAATGGCAAAATCAACCGAAAAGGTCAAATTCGCAAATTTACATGTTTGGAATGAAATGTAAAAGTCCCTTTATCTCACTTGATGTATTTTTGATTTTTATTAGGGCTGAGTATAGGGTTTTCATACACAAATTTGTAGGTGTGCAACAAATAGATTAAGATTCAAAGGTTCACTACTTCCTGCACTACAGAATCATCTACCACCGCACCAGCGCGCACTATGTATCTGCCAAGAACGTACAGCATTTACCAGGCAGTTTGTACCGGAGTTCACCAAATCTTATCCTCATTCTACGTAAATTCTAGATCTTCTGCATTAGTTGCACAAACTGCAGAGTTTATTTTCTCCAACAAACTTCTAGGAATGGATAATGCTGAAATAGACTTAGTGTTACCACGCCTCAATGTAGTAATACTACAAAGTTAAGGGTATGTTTATAAATTGGTTCGTCGTTGGGATATGGATGGATTTGGACTTACATAAATTCCTTTTGATAACTCCCTCAACGTCATCAATTAGGTAGACTCACGAGTAGTAGGTAGGATATAGCATTTTGGAACCGTAGTAATCCTAGTGTAAGTGGCCTCGTCCTCACTGGCCTCGAACTATAATCACTATGTTGTAGATATTTGATTAACGTTTAGGAAGAAGAGATCTTCACACGTTCATGGTTCGCTTCATGTATGAGAGAAGCCGTGATGAATACCATCTGCATAGCGAGCGCAAGACACGTGTAAAGGGGCTCAACCTTCTGCACAGCTCTTGTACCATCAAGAGTCTTTTGCATCTAAAGAAATGGTCTTAGTCCTGAATGATGATTAGTCCTCTGGAAATTGTACCACAGACTCATACAGCGACTGAGTAGAAGGAGGAAGACGAGTCATTTCATAATGATGGAGTCCCATAGGAGTATTGATAGACGACGAGAGCAATTCCTTCAGAACTCTATCAGCCTTTATGCCTGTAAGATCTGAAGGTGATGTCGCCCCTTTAATTGCACTGGTGCATTTAATCGAGGGGACACAACATAATATTGGGGCCCCAGCTGTTGTCACCAAATTCGCCAATGTTACCAAGATCTTCTTTCTGGTGTTGAGATAACTACATCCCCAGCCGCAGAGTGGCTATGTTGAGCTCAACAGTAGAAGTCACATCCCTTTAGACCATCAAGGTAGTAAAGAAGCGGGACGATGGATAAAACTGACCGTCACAAGATCAAATCAAGCAACTTTAAGGGTTGGGTTGCATACATTACAGGACTACTGTAAGCAATAGTTCATGGGCTTGAACGGGCACTGTGCAGCAATTGGAAGGTATCCAAGACAGCGTACGAGGTCCGACAAAGTTACCTATTATTTGCGGGCCGCTTCCGGAATTCGTGATCCGAGCATCGCCGCAGTAGGGGCATGATGGTGGGGTAGCATGCCATCGATAATCAATGTGATCTCCTTGATGGAATTTCAATCAAGGATTGGTGGATTCTGAGAGTTTGTGAAGAAAGATGAATGAATGTACGGGGTATGAATGTATGAGTGCATGAGTGCATGGATGAATGAATGATAGAATGAAATATCTCATGATTCCCATCTGATATGTTTGGAATATCTTCATTGACACCCCTGGTATAGTAACCTACCTATGCTAAACAACTGCTTAACCGAAGCCTGAAGGTCCGTGACGGGGTTGTGCTGAAAGAAAGTTTGAAGTAAAAATGTCTCTGGCCTGTGGATGAATGGGGATAAAAGTGGGGCGCATATGGAGAATTCTCACCGCCAAGTGCTAAGGCTTGGCAGTAAAAGAATTTAAATGGGCCAATCAAGGAAATGATTAGAGTGATGGCCAGGATTGGTGACGTAGGGGGGTAAGGAGTGTGCATAAATATTTACTTCCTTTTAATCCATAGGTAGAGATGACGAGGCAAAGAGTGAGTGTGGCTGAAGTGAATGTTAGGGAGATGTGAGGTGTAAGGCGTAAGGTGTGAGATGAGAGGTGTAGGTGAGAGTGTGAGATGAGAGGTGAGAGTGTGAGATGAGAGGTGAGAGGTGAGAGGCGAGAGGTAGAGGTGTAGGTGTAGGTGTAGGTGAGAGGTGTGAGATGCAAAGTGCGAGGTGCGCGAAATGTAAGATAGGAGAGTGCATGGGATGAAAGGCTTGAACAACTAACTGCCAACCGATATTCTTTCTAATCCATTACGGCTTACAATAATCTACGAAAGAGCGAATTCGGATTCATGGACGGATATAACGGTTTGACTGACCTTTACTCATTTCATACTTCCGAGATAGTAGGATCTCAGGATCTCAGGATCTCAGGATCTCAAGATCTCAAAGTCTCAATATCTCAGCATCTCTTGATTCTCTACCTACTGTATTAGGTACCTTGCCATTTATTTATTATCCATCAAGGAACAGAGTGAAAAAAGAAGAAGTTAACAGAAGAAAGGCCTGAATGATACTTTTTAATCCCACGGGCTTTGAAGTGCATCGACTGATATTTTGAAATAAAGTATTGAATATCATTCATTATCCTTGCATTCTAAAGAGGCGTCCAATCAAATTTGTCATCATACTTCTACCACTGTCTGAACTTCTAATAATTTCGACCTCTTTTCTTTCCAACATTTCTTCTCTAAATATTCTTATCATCCATGAGGAAGGAGCTTGAACACAAGACCTTCTCTACTTGGCAAACGAATGTCTTTAAATCTTTTTCAACCGCCCCATCTATCCGAAGAAACTTGCTTTATCACTTATAATAATTAGAAGTGGAGGCATCCCAAGATCTTGGCATCTTGGACTGGAAAAATAACCAACCTTCCACGCAGTTATTCGTCACATTCATTCGACACTCTTCCTAATCTTTCCTTCACTTCGAAAATAAAATCTTACCTTAAGAGAAACACCTGCAAAACTTGGCCGCACGAATTTACGTGCATTACGATCATTACAAAGGGTGGAGGATAACGAACATAAAATAGAAGAGGTTGGGAGCGGCGACTGGGCGCGACCAGAATTCGAATGCTGCGACATCACGCAATTCTTTTGAGGGAATCAACTGATTGGGGTATAACGAGGAGAGGCAACCCAACGGATTGAGCCTGCCCATCTTGACTCCTCCGTCTGCGATAGGAACCTCACGCATACAACATCAATATCGATAAGCAATCGACTGCGATTGCTCTAATACATATTCTGTACCGATCGACACCCATTCTAAGACAGCCAAGATGGCGTGGGATCATCTTTCCGTCAATAAACCTCATTTGGTTTATATAATTTTGGGTGGCTTCACCTCATTATTTATGCTGTGTTCCTCCTTCATCAAGGAGCGCATGTATATCGGTGAAGCCACTGTTGCCACCATTTGTGGTATCATCTTTGGACCACATGCCGCCAATTTGATCAATCCTGATACTTGGGGTAACACCGATCAGATAACTTTAGAATTCTCGCGTATTGTTCTCGTTGTTCAATGTTTTGCCGTTGGTGTCGAATTGCCCAGGCATTATATGGAGAAGCATTGGAGGAGTGTTGTCTTTCTGTTATTACCTGTGATGACATTTGGATGGTTGATCACAAGTCTTTTCATTTGGTGGTTAATCCCTACTCTTAACTGGCTGCAGGGACTTTGTGTGGCAGCGTGTGTGACCGCGACAGATCCTGTACTCGCCAGTTCCGTGGTTGGAAAGGGAAAATTCGCAAAGCGAGTACCGAAACATTTGAGAGATCTTTTATCTGCCGAGTCAGGGTGCAATGATGGGATGGCATTCCCGTTCATCTACCTTTCTTTATATTTGATACGATTCCACCTCAATGCGAGAGAAGTTACATTTGACTTCGTTGTCATAACTGTTCTTTACGAGTGCGTATTTGGTGCAGTTTATGGCTTCGTTGTCGGTTACATTGGAAGGCACGGAATCAAATATGCGGAGAGACATGATTTGGTCGACCGTGAAAGTTTTCTCGTGTTCTACTTCGTTCTTGCCCTATTTTGCGCAGGCTCGGGGAGTATTCTTGGGGTTGATGATCTTCTCGTTGGCTTCGCTGCTGGCGTTGGCTTTTCGAATGACGGTTGGTTTACTCAGAAAACAGAGGAATCTCATGTTTCCAACGTCATAGATCTACTCATCAACTTGGCATATTTTGTCTACCTTGGTACAATTATTCCTTGGGAACAATATAATGACGTGGAAATTGGAACTACGCCATGGCGGCTAGCGGTCATCGCAATTTTGGTCATTTTCTTCAGGCGCATACCGATCATGATGGCACTGAAACCTCTGATACCCGACATTAAAACTTGGCGAGAAGCTTTATTTGCTGGTCATTTTGGTCCCATTGGAGTGGGCGCCATCTTTGTAGCTATTCTTGCAAGGGCCGAGCTTGAGACTGATGGTACAACACCCTTGGCCGATTACCCTGATCGAAATGCGCCAAACTGGGAATTGGTAACGGTGATTTGGCCAATCGTAACATTTCTTGTCATTTCCTCTATTATCGTACATGGTTCATCCATCGCGGTTTTCACTCTTGGGAAACATATCAATACCTTGACACTCACAATGTCCTATACCCAAGCTGGAGATGATGGGCCTACTTGGATGAATCGCCTTCCTCGTATCTCATCCACATCAAGATCTCAAGCCAAGACAGTTGGATCGGAAACTGATGGCGAAGACTTGACAATGGATGAGATACCTCCCGGCACCCTGCCACCTCCTGGAGGGATACCTGGAGGATTCTTGCGCCGTCAAAGGGAGGAAGATAATCCAAGTAGAGCCAGCAGTCGCCCATCTTCATTGATTCCTCGACGCAGAAAGAAGAAGTGGGACGATGGAGTAGGTCCCGGGGGTCCCATCAGCGAGTCAGCCATTTATCCCGCCCGACGGAGTCGCGATTATTCGAATGAACAAACATCAGATACTTTAACGCCCGGAGGATCTTCGCCCGACAACGAGAAAGCAAACATAGATGACGAGTCCAATGAAGGTGAACTTGGAGAAGTTCAACACGATCCCGAAATGGAGGAAATTATGCACCATGGCGAGAAGGCCGAGCGACGTGATGGGCACATGTCAAATGCCCAAAGCCAGCCTGGCAAGGCGGAAGTTTATGACGAGGGTGACCATATTATAATTGAAAATGAAGACGGTGACGTGATCAAAACACTTAGAAGCCCAGAGGCGGGAAACTCAAAGGACGGAATCGAGAATTTGGAAAAGGATATTAAGCAAGGGACAGAGAAAGCTTACCAGAAGTTCGGAAAAATAATGGGGGTTTGGCGAAATAAGGACGAGGCCAAGGGAGTTAAGACGGGTGAAAGCTCACAAGGAAAAAAAGGGAAAGAGCCTCGCAAAACTCGGGGTCCAGCTTTAGCTTACCAGTATGGACGATCTGTAAGATATTCCACGGCTTGGGTTTATTATAATCATATCGCTAACACAGTCATAGATCATTGTTGAAGATGAAGATGGAGAAGTTGTCAAAACATATGAATTACCACCGGACCCAAACAGCAAAGGTCCCAGAAATGGTGAACCTAGTGCTGTCCGTCAAGGGATAACTCGTATGGGCACATGGACCGGACTCGGTGGCGCTAAGGCATCAGCCGACACCCCTAATAAAACAGACGGTACAAAATCGGATCCAGCCCGCCAGGGCATAGCACGAATGGGTACCTGGAACTTTGGCAAGGCGGCTCCCAATACCGATAATAAAGAGACCGAAGAAGATGATGATCGTCGTATCCGATTCACCATTGGAGGAGCAGGACGCCGTTTAACCAAGGAAGATTTTTTGAAGGAAATTCAAGGTCTAGACCCCAAAGCAAGATGTGAAGTTGTTGAAGAAAGCGATGCACCCAAAGAGATGAAGGATCTGGCAAGGAGAGACGCCAGTGATAAAACACAGGGAAATTCACGTCTATTCGAAGCGCAAGATACGCAGCTAGCTGCTGGCGCGCAAACTGCGCGAGTGATTGGAAAACAAATGGCGAAACAGCAGGGCGCAAGAATTGATGCACAGGATAACATCAGAACCAGTGGAGCGGAAAGCAGCACTAATGATATACCCGAGTCAGCTGCGGAAAGGAGAAGAAGGCATGATGCTTTGAAAGGGGTAGATGAGGATGATGATGATGAAGCTAGAGGACGGGGAAGGGGACGCTCTCCTGTTCGTGACAGCGAGGTTCCCGAAGAAAGAGAAACGGCAGCGGAAAAGAGGAGACGGGAGGCAGCGCTTGGCGAAGGCGTACAGAGTGATAGTGATGATGACGACACACCGAGAGTGCCACCACCGGCCGCACGAAGCAGGGGTATCAGGTTCGCGCAGAGTCCTGTGAGAGGAAAGAGATAGTTTTTCGGTAAATTGTGTACATGCTGGGAGGTCTTAATGTTTTTGAGATGATTTGATACCTTGTTGTTATATTTCTGGGAAAAATATTATGGCTATACTTGATGTAATGTTGCTACGAGAATATTGAGATGATAGATGGGTCGACTGGCATGTTTGGAAATCATGATTGATGGGTGTTGGGTAATTTTGAATATAATTTTGAACGGGTTGTTGATACAACATACGAGTACATAGCATAGCATAATGATTTAGAATGGTAGAATACTGGTTGGGTAATATGTACATATAGGTCATATTCAGTTTTAATTTGAGGTTTTGTACCTAGTATTGGATAGCCATCTAATGTTTCGTTCGGTAGAGTAGATTCGACGGCTTGATGAAATGGTAATCAAATGAGTAGTACTGTCTGTTGTACTCTGTATCGACAATACAATTGCTGTGTGGGTGTGCATGTGGTCAGTCAGTCTTGATTGAAGCTATACTCCATACTCGAGTACTATACCAGATCCATATTTAATATTTTGTCCAGTAGATTCGATATTTGCGAAAAATTCTTCCGAACGTTTGTTGTCGTCATAAAAGAACAGGGATACCTTGACCAATGAACATCATGGTCTAACTGGACTGGTCACCCTCACGCGCTTCAAATTGCCGAGCGGTCGATTTCATGCGAATTTCGCCTCCAAAAAGTTTATGCCCATCAACAACAAGCCACGCCATTCCAAGAAAACATACTGATATCAATTTGCGAATGGTTGGCAACTTATAACCATGAGTCAAAATAATAGAAAAGCAAAGGGAAGAGGTAGAGGAGGACAACCAGGTTCGAGCGATAATTCTAGCAACAATACTCCAAATGGTAGTCGGCCACAATATATGACTGTTGGGTCTGGAAGTGCACCGGAAAGTGCTGCAAGACTACAAGCTCTCCTCGACAACGACTCAGGGTATGGAGGCAGTGTTGCTGGTGACAGCTCAAACGGCTTGCCATCATGGAATCCTACACTGACAGAGGATAGACCTACTCCTCCAATGTCTTCCCTTCCCAGAGGACAATCGAACGAGATTTCAGAGAACGAGAGACGATCGCAGGCAAATGCAATACATCAACTATGGTACAATCAACATCGTGTCACTCTTGGCAGATCAATCAATCGTGTGGTGGAAACTTTGAAGTCATTACAAGAAATGAACGCACAATGGCCAGCGATTTATCCCTCAGTTCAGCGCGATGAAGCTCAACACCAACGACAGGACCCACGGCCAGGCTTGGTACATACACAAACTGGTATCGGGTCCTCAATACCTGAGCCTCGTCCCGGGCAAGTGCGACGTGCTATGACATCTATTGGTGAGGGTAGCAGCAATGCAGAGTCAAGTCAAGCGGCGGAATCAAGAACCACTCCGGAACCTCGGCTCGTAACCCCACAGATCGCACAAGAGTTTTCTATCTTGAAGCTGGACTTAAAGCTGGGAGCTTTACATCAAACCGAGTTGGTACATTCGTTGGAAAAGGCTTCGATCGCATCTCTGCTTGATGGAAAAATTAGTTCAAGCATCAACCATTTACTTTCACTACGAGAACGTATCGAGGATTCTTCGAGCAAGGTACTGGTAACCGGAGATTTGAATACTGGAAAATCGACATTCTGCAATGCACTTCTCCGGAGAAAGATTTTACCAGAGGATCAACAACCTTGTACGAGCATATTTTGTGAGGTTTTGGATGCGAGAGAAAATGGAGGAGTTGAGGAAGTGCATGCGGTTCACAAGGAAACCACCTATGATCGGCATGATGAAAGCACCTATGACGTTTACACGATTCAGGACCTGGAACAACTCGTTCTTGATAACGATACCTACACACAATGCAAGGTCTACGTGAAGGACGTACGCACGATCGATGAGTCATTACTGAACAATGGAGTGGTGGATATTGCAATCATTGATGCGCCTGGCCTCAACCTGGATACTACGAAGACGACTGCGGTTTTTGCTCGACAGGAAGAAATTGATGTTGTTGTCTTCGTTGTCTCGGCTGCCAATCACTTCACCCAGACCGCGCGAGAATTTATCTGGGCTGCGGCAGCGGAGAAGGCATATATTTTTATGGTTGTCAATGGATATGATAATATCCGGGACAAAGAACGATGCCAGAAAATGATATTGGAGCAAATTCAAGGTTTAAGTCCTAGAACCTTCAAGGAATCCTCTGAACTTGTCCACTTTGTATCAAGTAATGCTATTCCCACAGCTGCACTTGGTCCTCCTGGTCCACCGGGCGGAAGTGGTGGTGGTGGAAGCGGTAGCTCTAGTGGGGGTGGAGGTGATGGACCAGATTTCGACGACGGTTCGGATTCGAAAGGAAAGGGTAAAGGCAAGGATAAGGAGAAGATTAGAGATTTTGAGATACTTGAACAGTCGTTACGTCGATTCGTTCTAGAAAAGCGGGCTAGATCCAAGTTGGCTCCAGCCAAGACTTACTTGCTTAATGTTCTAGGTGATATTCACAGTCTCGCCACTGTCAACTCAGAGGTTGCACAATCTGAGCTAGATCGTGTCACAAAAGAACTGGCGGATCTAGAGCCCATGCTCGAGGCCTCTCAAAAAGCGAAGGCTGAAGTGAGCGATGATATTGATAGAACTATCGAAGCGACATGCAAAAATATCTACGACTACACTCGCTCCACGCTCAACGATACAATAGCAAGGACAGCCGATGGTGATCTTGGAATCCCGTATCCAGGGCTGTTCGGTGCTTTTCAATATGCCGATGACATTAAGGAGGCTATTATGTCGGAGATCTCCGCTACTGTTTCCGCATGTGAAGAACATGCGCGTCGTAAGACAGTTGATGGTGTAACGCAAATCAAGCAACTAGGTATCTTACATCTCGGTGATGAATATACAGACTTGAGCTTCAGAAGCGACATTATGTTCAAACGCAAGCGTGATATTCTTGCCAAGCATCTTGACATTGAGACTGAATTGTGGGATTTCTTCGATTTCTCAACTCTTTTCCAGAGACAGGAAAAGATGGCTGGGACTGGTATGGCGATGACTATCGCCACGGTTCTCGGCAGTCGTGCAATTGGTGGTGTCGGATGGGTTGATGGTGCTATGTCTGCAGCAAAGATTATGGGTAACAATAACTTGCGCAGATTGGTAGTGCCAGGAATCATCGCAGGAGGTATGTTTTATCTGACATCTTAATTGCATGCATTTTCTTACTAATTCTATCTAGCTATTGCCGCAGCCTACTACGTCTTAAACCAAATCCCTCAGTCGCTTCCACATCGTCTGTCCTCCAAGATTTCCGCTCAACTTGCCGCTATCGACTACGTACATTCTAACAGTGATCGTATCTCTTCATCAGTACGTAAGGTCCTTCGATTCCCTGCTGATAATCTCCGTGTTGGTCTTCAACGTTCGGTTGAACAACTCGGAACCAAACGTGAAGAGACCAGAAAGATCAGAGGCGAAAGTGAAGTTGCCAGAAAGTACTTTGGAAACTTGGTCAACAAAAGTTCGGAGATTAGAAATAATGTTGAGGGTGTGGATTTGGAGGGACCAGCCCCAGGAGTTGCCGCTGCATATGATGCTTAGATTCTTGTTATACCCCGATATCTCTTTTTCCCTTAACGTGTCAATGACTACTCCGTCGGAATAAAAGTGGCGTTTTTTGAGCAATTTACTTCAGAGACAATATGGGTTGTTGGACCAGAGGATGGATGGGAAGGTGTGGAAAATCAAATGCGAGTGGCGTTGGTTGTAGGGTTTAGGATTGATTGTATGGCGTGCCTATAGCTACTTCGGACTCCTCTCTCCACTTACTTTACTCTGTAGAATGAAAAGAAAAGTAATATCATATAAAAGTGTCACATAAATTCTTTTATGGTGAGACCACCAGGACATGTGGAAATAGAAATTCATAAACCTTAATTTTAAGGCTGGTAGTGTTCAGCCAAGGCTGCCAAGCTTCAAGGCTACGAATTGAAAGCCGAATCATTGCCTACTACATGACGACTTGCGCGGGCTCGCAAACACAACATCAAGTAATTTATATTTAACTCAGCAACTTCCACAGAAAATCCTCCAGATTGTCTTCCCACCTATTTCCCCATTTAATTACTTCAAAATACAACCATGAACGTATGTCACTTCCCCTCCTCTTATCTCCCTCCACCAAACTAACCATCCTCCTCAGATCGTCGAGTGGGCTTTTGGAAAGCGCATGACGCCAGCCGAGCGTCTGCGAAAACATCAACGATCGCTTGAGAAAACGCAACGGGAACTCGATCGCGAGCGCACGAAGCTCGAGAATCAGGAGAAGAAATTGATTCAGGAAATTAAGAAGAGTGCGAAGAATGGACAGATGGGGGCGGCTAAAATTCAGGCGAAGGATTTGGTGAGGACGAGGAGATATGTTGAGAAGTTTTATAGTATGAGGACGCAGTTGCAGGCGATTAGTTTGAGGATTCAGGTATGTTTTTGTAGGAGGGAAGGAGGGGGAGGGAGTGTAGTTTGGGAAATTGGGGAAAGCAGGAGGAATGGAGGCATGTGAGAGGATGATTGCTAATTATTTGGGTGATTAGACGGTTCGAACGAATGAGCAAATGATGCAAGCGATGAAAGGGGCAACTGGAGTTCTGGGAAGTATGAATCGAAGTATGAATCTACCTGCATTACAGAGAATCGCTATGGAATTCGAGAAAGAGAACGATATTATGGATCAGAGGCAAGAAATGATGGATGATGCGATTGATGATGTGACGGGGTTGGAAGATGAGGAAGAAGGAGAGGAAGTCGTAGAGCAGGTTTTGGAGGAGATTGGTATTGATTTGAAAGCTGCGATGGGTGAGACTCCTCAGGGTTTACAGAGTTCGATGGTTCCTGAGGGGAGGGTTGCGCAGGCGGTGGGTGGGGGTGGGGGTTCTGGCGGTGCGGATCCGGGTGATGATGATTTGCAGGCGAGACTTGATAGTTTGAGGAGAGATTGATAAGGGTGTGCTTGTTTTTTTTGTTTGGGGAGGGATTTGCTTGGGAAGTGGAAATATATCATCCATCGAGGAGGATCATCATAAACAAATCGACATCTGCAAGAAGAGATGACCATTTAATTTCCATGAAAGCCGAAATGGGAAGGATACATCGTATTCGTTAAATAGTAAACTCACGATTTTTACATCGGCGTTAGTTACAGAGTGTGTGGGAGGCGTTTCTATCCATCCATGTACCTATCTATCTATCTATTTCCTAGGAGGTTTATGGGTTGGAGCTTCAGAAATTTACTTCGTTCTTCACTAAATGCCCATGGGAGGGAGGACAAGGGAAGGAAATGGAATGGAAGGGAAGCTTAGGAGTCTTAGGAATCTTAATATTTTTTTTATCTTTTGTTATTTGGTAGTTTCGTATAGTGCATATGTGTATGGGTGTATGGGTGTATGGGTGGGTGGTATTGGAAGTAGATATAAAGGTGAATATAAGGATTTTTGAAGAAGAAGAAAGTTATTACCTCTTGCTCCTTTCTTTTTATATGTATGGAGTGCGGAGGATGTCGCGAATTTGGATGTAAACTTGGCTGTGGTTGAGATTTTATAGGCTTTAGGCTTTAAGGATTGAGTGATTCCCACTATTCCCTGTGTAGGGGTCATTCCTTTTAACACAATACTTTATTCTTTTATTTCTATCTCCTATATCCTATCGCTAACAGATCCAAATACTCTCCCTCTCAAACAATAAGCGGAATTAGAATTTACCTACCTAGTACATATATAGTAAACTCTCTTCAAATCCGCCATGGCTTTCTTCACTTTTATAATATCCATGGATCTGTATTTTCCGTAATAATAAGATTATAAGAAAGTCTGAGGAAATGTCAAAATAAACTTCTTAATTATAATCTCTACCTCCTGCAGTGATGAGGCACAGTATTTCTTTTTATAGTAATCTTACAAAATAGGAATTCTAGTAATAGATAATTGTGCCCAGATGCAATTTCTCATTGGGGGTACTTGCGATACATATACTGATATATTTATAACTTTGTTTTCTTTGTATTGATTGTACTGTATCTACCCTTTGAATGCATATTACCTACCTCTTGTATGTCAATTGTTAGATATTCCTTTCAGAAAGCACCAACACACACTTTCTTGTCCATCTTTTCTGATGTTATTCAGAAATTTTAAATATGATTGGAATCTGATTAATATTTCAGAAAATCCCGGCTCCGTGGTACTTTAGAGTGGGTTCCCGGAGTTAATCAATCAAATGTGAGGGACATTATTCAATACCCCACGAAACGATGTCATGGGAGAGTAAATGGTTATCCAAGCTAGAACTAACTAACTCTCAACCCAGGAACCAAAACTAATAAGTTGTCCTGCCCAAAACAAATCAACTTCCACTTCTACTTCTCCCCAGCCCAATCCAGCAAAATTCATTCACAATCCATAACTTAAAGCGAATCACTTTCTTCAATATTTAAATTCTGCGAACCTTCATGACACTTTCTTTTACCATTGTCTTATTACAAAGTTTACAATTCAAAGCAAGGAAGTAGGAACGAAAGAACCCACAACAAAAGAGAGCCTCTTTCTTTCCTTCGATAACAATCACCCGTCTCTTTACGAGACACATTCAACCAAATCAACAAACTGGCAGGAAATAAGAGGAGGAGCTTTTCCTCCCAAGGAGGTCTGCTCAACAGAATGTTTGGCAGCTCTAGTTCCCCACCAAAAGACTCGCCCGCGGCTTCCAGCACACCTACTACCACCTCTTCCGAATCCAGCACCGATTCATCAACCGATCTCAATAACCCAGGCGATGCATCAACCGCATTAAGAGCTCTCGATGGTGAGAGTAACACGTCGGAAAAGCGCAGCGGTAATGGTAGTCCCCCAGGTCGCGCAATTCCAGGCGATGGTTCAGGAGAGAAGAAACGCCGGAGTAGCGGCGTCGGTGGTAAAGCCAGCTCTCTTCTTGCCAGTGCGAAAAACTCATTGCACTTCAGTCAAAGTCCTAATTCTTCGGGATTCATGTCTGGTAGATCGAGTGATTCGGTTACGCAGACGCCCTTGCAGAAGCTGGGAAAACAAGATCCGGCATTGACGGTTCCGCAGGGTCAGCATAATAATTCGGCCGGAGAATCTCGTCCGGGTCCTAGATCTACCTTTAAAGTCGGGGTTTGGGAGGATAGAAATAAGAAATGTCGTCGAACGATGGAAGATACACATGCCTTCTTGTATAACTTCTTACATACACCGGCTCCAGTTGTGGGAACCGATTCCAATTCGAAATCGGAAAAGTCTGAGAAGGTCGCAAGTGATTCATCCGATAGTCTTGCTAAGCCAGGACCTGCACAGTCTATGATGGAAACGGATAATGGTTATTTCGCAATCTTTGATGGCCATGCAGGTACATTTGCGGCGGATTGGTGTGGAAAGAAATTACATCTCATATTGGAAGAAACTATACGAAAGAATCCAAATACACCCATTCCTGAACTTCTCGATCAAACCTTTACAACTGTTGATGCGCAATTGGAGAAACTACCTTTGAAAAACAGTGGCTGCACTGCCGTTACTGCGGTTCTTCGCTGGGAGGATAGGATACCAAACCCTTCATCTGCTACCGGTTCTACTGCTATTGCACCAGCAACCGCCGCTGCTGTCAAAGCTGCCGAGGAAGCTCCAAAGACTGGAGATAATGGTGTAGATTTGAGCAAATCCACTTCGCAACAACCAAATTCTGCTGTAAATGTTCCTACTGGAGATGTTCAGGCGAAACTCAAAAGCACTTCTACTCGTGCCAGAGTTCTGTATACGGCTAATGTTGGAGATGCACGTATTGTATTATGTCGTAATGGAAAGGCTTTACGTCTATCTTATGATCATAAGGGTAGTGATGAGAATGAAGGAAAACGTGTTGCAAATGCAGGTGGTTTGATTCTCAATAACCGTGTCAATGGTGTTTTGGCAGTTACTCGTGCATTGGGAGATGCATATATGAAGGATTTGGTCACAGGTCATCCATATACAACTGAAACTGTTATACAGCCTGATGGTGATGAATTCATTATTTTGGCTTGTGATGGTGTAAGCATTTTCCTGTTTTTTTGTATAGAATACTACTAATCACGTCATGATAGTTATGGGACGTCTGTTCAGATCAAGAAGCAGTTGATCTAGTTCGTCATCAGCAAGATCCTGTCACCGCAGCTAGACAACTTGTTGAATATGCTCTTGCTCGTTTCAGTACGGATAATTTATCTTGCATGATCGTTCGATTTAATCGACCGCTTCTTGTTGCAACCGCTAAAGATACTCATGCTGCTATTGGTGTCGAAGGTGATGGTAATATGGGATCTGGCAAACTTTCCGAAGCAGACAAAATTGTCTCAGAATCCAAGAAAAAGGTTGATGATGGCGCGTCAAATCTCGGTATTAGTGGTAGCAATAGTGGAGCTGGACATGATTCCAAGTTCGACGGAGCGGTAGAAGAAGATGAAGGAATCATCCCAATGGAAATTGTAGTGGAAGAGGAACCTCAGTCTTTGGAGAGTGATTCTTCAGCCCCCGAAATAGATTTAAGTATGGTGGAGAAAGCAAAGGCGGAGGAGACGAGCAAAAACTTGCATTTACCGGAAGGATCTGCTAAGTGATATTTATTATAATAGCTACTCAATCCACTGTTGTCTTTTATATCTTGGGTGGAAAAGAGCAGTCAGTCAGTTTACGGAAGCGGAATTTTTCTTTTTCTTGCAGTTTTTTGCTGAATGTTTTGGGTTTGTTTGGGCGGTGGCGATTGATGATTGATAGCTTGGGGAGATTTATCTAAGTTATGGTTTTGTGGATGATGTGGATGATGTGGCTGGGGAGGGGGGGAAGTAACAGAAGAGATTTTCAGTGAGGGGATGGATGGATGGATGGAATCATGCTACGAATACGAATTTGGGGAAGGGGATAGGTTGGTTGGTTGGGGGTGGGCATGGGAAGGCGGAGGTACATTATATTACGCGTGGTTAGGCTACACAGCGCATTATTGTATGCTTGATTGATATGAATTGAATGCTATGAAATGAAATGATATTGAGTGAAGTGAAATGGATTGTTTGTGATTTTGATGATTTTTATCTTTTATGATTTGGGTTTATATAGACTTTATACACTTATAAAGATTAATATTCTGATAATAAGTGTTTTTTATTGTTTTCTCCTATCTTGATGCTATATACAATAATAAAGTAATTATACAGTAATAATCGCCACAGGCAGCGACAACGCAGGCGTACACAATGCTTGCAATGTAGCAAATATCATTGATATACCTAGTATTTTACCCTTTTAAATAGAACCTTACCTACTTCCCCATGCCCCCGCAAATTCCCGCGTCTACCGCTCCAAATGAGACTCGAAGTAGAGCTTCCGAGGGGAGTACATATATATGTGTAAAAGTCTGGTAAAGGACTGGGAAGTAATTCCTTGATCGAAAATTCTTTTGTTTTTAAATACTGTTGTTGTAAGTGGTGCTACTTGGGCTTTTATCGTCGTTGTCATTTTCTCTTTTTTTTTTCGTGGTGTGATTGTTTCCTCTCCTTTGACTTGCTTTTGCTAATTTCTTTAGTTGTGCTATGCCATTTCTCTGGGCCAGTGTCCATTTAATACAATGACTCTGGTCATTATGGTTGAATCTTTTTTCCTAGCCAGCTTTTCACCGTGCTTTATCTTTATCAAATACATCCGCGGTCAGCTCTCTGACTAAAGATGCTCTAATAGGCCGTCAGGAGACATTTCGAACTCGAATGTTAATTTTGTGTCCTTGGTTCTAGTAAATTTCATCATCTTTTTCATTACGGTGGCAACTTTTGTAAGTATCTAGGATCGTGGGTTGACAGACTATTCAGGAAGGTTTCCAAGATTAGAAGGACATATTAACTCACAGGTCCTACCAGCATGCTTCTGTTGTTCTGCGGTACTTGCTTTCTCTGAGTAATGAAGATCCTTATTCTCATGGTGTGAGCCCGTCGACATGTTGAATAGGTTATTGCTTGAAACTACTATCTTTGGCCGCAGCAGTATACTTGAGAAGGAAGGTATGTATGTGCACCAATATTATACTAGGGATAGCTTTCCAACGAGGGCTTTTGTTCGGGCTCCGCTCCTCTCTTGTATCGAGCTCTCTAGTTATATACGGGATTTTGACTGGAAGTAATGGTGCCTACTTGTCCCTATAGACCTGATGACGCAATGATCACTGGAAGGATTTATCGTAACCTTTTCGGACCCGTGGCCGTGATAAAGGCAAGCATAGCTTTTTGAAAGTACTTTATGACTCTGCCTTCTGCGCTATAATGTTTATGAATTTCGGAATAGAGTTGGGAAATAGAATGTACAAGTCGTAGATTCTCTTCGCCCGAAGAACTACAACAGTACGATTGGAATGTTGACGCTACATAATCATAGGTAGAATTGACTGTACATTTTTTAATAAAGTGGCATGAAATTTATGTTCAACATGGTCTTTGGCCAGTCCTCAAACAAATCATCAGCATAATTTGTTGTCAATGTGATTAATGCCACGAATGGCTCTTTCGACTTCGACTGCAAAAGAATGCGATCTGTATATGTCTAACACGAGGATCCATTACCCTCCTGTCAATCGGCCATAGGCATCTGATGAGCTCGTTCCAGAATTTTGGATGAGATCTTGAAAGAGATGAATAGATTATGAAATACCTCGAGAACCGATTCAATGCAGTTTACCTCTTCGAGTGTGTTATACAAGACAAGCTTCAGCCACTCCATATGATACAGGATTGAAAACGACCAACAAACTCTGAGCCGGAATATTCTGCGTGGGCGTGCGGCTCATATTTTCTGAGCAGGCCGGATGAATAATAGACAAACTTCAACTTACTCTTGGTCACAGGATGCAAAAAACGTGTATTCGACCTCACTTTGAAGGCTTGTGGATCATTGTCGTTATTTTGATGTGGAATAACCATGTCAAGTATATATCACGTGATAATTTGACGAACTCGACATTACTAATCTCTTGTCCGATAAGAAGATTTGCCTGCTTATCGAGCCCCGCGGCACCATCTGAGATCAAACAAACGACAAACATATCCTACCTACTCAACCATAACGAGGACTTTATACTGTTTTGATATATTTATTGTGATTTTTTTCTTAGCAAAGCTCGATCAGTAACACCAAGCAAAACTACAAAACCATTCTACACAATGGCAGCAGACAATTACGAAGCTGCAATCACTTTGATTGATGAAGCTCATGCTTTAGACCCAAACATCAGCATAATAAATGGCGAAAATATACCCTATGAGCTTCACTACGCACAAAAGATGACACATTATCTTTCTCTCCGCGCTCCGGATGCTTCTCCTATCCTCAAAGTTGCCGTGCGAGCACAACACTTTCGGCGCTGGGAGGTTCCACGATCTTCTTATCCTATGACGAAACCTGGGTATTTGAATTGGAGATCCTTTCTCAAGAAACGACAGGCTGATCTTGCATCTGCGATATGCATTGGTTGTAATTTTACAAGTGAGGAGGCGGAAGAAGTGGCTAGATTGATTCGGAAGGAGGATCTGAAGAAAAATGAGGAAACTCAAATCTTGGAGGATGTGGCTTGTCTTGTGTTTTTGGACGATCAGTTTGAGGCTTTTGAGAAGGGTCACGATGAAGAGAAGATTGTTTCAATTCTGAGAAAGACTTGAGGCAAAAATGAGTGAGGATGGGCATCGTATGGACTTACAAATACCGAATGAGCGATTCAAAGTAAGAGTTTAATTCAGAAGGCTTTGGGAAGAATTCAGATATGTTGGGTTAATGAAGTGTACGGTATGGCTATGGGCTTGAGGTGTGAAGAACTGTTTATATATTGTATAGTACATTGGGTTAAGCAAGCTACAAAATGGTGGGTTTGATGGGTTGTGATGGGTTGGCTGATACAAGCTAATATGCCGCGGTCATTAGGCTGGGCATACCTCTGGTGCCTGGAAAGCTCGGAGGTAGCTTTTTGAAAATGTGGAATTGGAGTTAAATACACTAGTGAATTTCTGGCTGAAATTTTTGCTGTCAAAAGGATGTTATGAGACTAATGGTATTTACCCTGAGATTGTGTTGACAATTATGATACATTAGGTATATATTCAAGAGCGACATTACCAAGCGAGCAGTCCCCTCCGTTTAACCCCTATTTATATCTTTTTCGGTGAGTTCTAGACTTTCTACAACACCAATATGTGGTCGCTTCCGCTTCCACAATTTCTTTCCTCTACCGTTCTCTTTTCCATCGCCGGCTTGACGATGGACTGCAATTTGCAATGCATCACGCGGCCGGCATCATACAACCAGTCTTGCCACTCTCCCTCTGTCGCCTTAAACATACGCTGTCCACAGATTTCTTGCATTTGCGCCAAGTCATCCTTTACATGCTTCATCTCGTAGGTTTCAAGGTAATCCTCAAGATGATCATAAATCCACTCCTTGCAAGTTTCATCCTCCCACTCCAACATCATTTCCATTTTCAACTCCTCAGGTGAAGAAGAAGGCTTGCGTTCCTTAAAATAGCTGGGTTTTTCGGAAACGACGGATGGTGTGGACTGTCTCAACCTGTTCTTTGCTTCTTCTATCGATATGTCGTCTTTTTCTTTCAACTCTTGCAATTGCAATCTCTCTCTTTCCCTGGTCGATATCTTGTCCTTTCCTTTGAGCTTTTCATGTTGTCTCTCTAGTTCCTCCAACTGCGAATAAAGGTTTTGTTCCGATCGACGTAGCGTTCCCAGTAGATCATCCGCCCCTGCCCTCGCGATCCTATCATATTCTTGCCAGCGCCGCTTCATTGCGGAAACATTTGGATGTGCATCCGTCCCTGGATGTTTCAGTTTTCTCTCTTCTTCCTCCTCAGTCGTTTCTTGCCTCTCTCCTAGATATTCACGCAAAAATTGCTCTCTATAAGTTCTCTTGCGTTTTTGATTATTCTCATGATTATCCTCTGTTTTTCGTATATCCTCCTGTATCTTGTTTATTTCCTTCGTTATCTTCTTCATCTTCTCCTCATTCATTTCAGCCTTGTTTCCAAGTCCCAAGGCTTTTCTCCATATTCCACGCTTTGGTTTAGAGGCTGGCTTCATATCAACATTGGAATTTTCTAGTTGTGTGTGAGTGGGGTGTCGTTTTTTGGACTGCCATTGGGTTTCTTACCATCGACCTCGAGAAGACGTTGATTTTGGCTACCTTCACCTCGTTGGCTACTTTCATTTGATTGCGAGGACATGATGTTGCTGGATAATTCAGTATAAAGAGGAGCTATTGATATCAAGAGTTGTTTATGTATATATGATTATAAATCTGACGTGAAGAATTCAAGATATGCTTCTGATTGAACATGGTAGGTAGGATTAAAGAGTATCTTATGTAGATTTTCAATCGAACCTTCACAGTTCGTCATTCCTTTTACTTACTAAAGCAATCGTGATTTACGGAGATCTTATCTATCTGTAGTAAGTATACTTAGTATAAGTGCAAGTGTACTGCAACCTTGACAACTTCATCCTTAACTAGATTCTTCTTAGTATCGATGCTACCCAGACACTAGTCTGGTTGATAGTCTGCTCCCTCCCCCTCCCGAATCTTGATCTGGTACTAGATGAATAGACTTCCAAGGTTCGCTCAGTTAACAGTTGAAATGTGGTGATACATGTTCGTACCATAATTATTCTCCAAAATCGCTATTGTCGGTACTTTAATACTATAACGGTCGATATTCCTGTACTTGAAGTTTTATCAGTTTTTATCACTTTTCCTCCTAGTCTAACCCCCCACCAGTAGACTAAATACCAACTCCACTTTTAAGACTACATACATACTAGCTAGTCAGTGTACGGGCTAGAGCTACTATTCCCCAAACTAGGAGATCGGATTCTAGATGGCAGTTGTGATACATAATGGGAATTTTGCACAATCCCATTGTAAATAGCCTTGATTTTACTAGAACCTAGATCGTCTGTTGTTTTTGTAAGTTCCTTGGCACAACTTGGTGTTTTGATATCTATTATTGCAGGAATTACTCTAAATATATTTTCTCAGGAGCTTTTTTTTAGGAGCTTTCCCTCGTGCTTCTATGGTGAATGGGATTGTAGTGATCGGGTGAATGAATAAAAGAAATGTCTTGGAAGGCTTGAGCTTAGTATTAATTTTTTGATTATTGGGGATATGAAAATTGTGTAGATTGTCAAAAGCTAAAGGTTACCAATCTTCTGATGAGATAGTATGAGCGGGAATGCCAAGGGTGTGGGGAGATCGCTAAGACGTCATATGTTAACTATAGCTACGGTAGTGTTACTAGTAGGATATTTGGGATGGCATAACTGGATTGAGAAGGATAAGGTTTTGATGGCACGGTGGTGGTGGATTTGTCGTCTTGGTGTACTCTCCTTATTACCGTCTTGTGAATTGAATGATGGTATTCAGAGAGCTGTATTTCACAAGTATCCTGATACATACAAGCAAAAATAGAATGGATCGGCTTCTCGCAAATGATTATCTGAGTAACTATCGACGGATCTTAAAGGTGCGAGATACTCTAACAGCAATGTTGTTTCGGTCAACTAAATGTGCATCCATCCATTCATTCATCCATTCACCAACGGTAATATCCCAAATTCAACCATATTGACCCTTGCTTTCATCAACTCTCGGCTTCCTTCAACTCCTTTCCATTCCATCCAAAGCAGAAACAGGCATATGAGACCCGAGTTATTGGATCACAGATGCGGTAACAAAGAATAAACCAAAGAACGAATTATCTTCAATATCCCAAGTCCTTGACTCTCTTATGAAGTAGCTGACCGTCAGTCGTCCCCATCTTTGACCATCTTCCGTGCAAAGATGAAATCAAAATTAGTAAGTGATGCAAAACAGCATATGGAGATTGCAAACCAATCGATCTCAATATCAACCCATCCCAGCCCTCAAACCAACGTAAATTCAACCAAAGCAAATCCAATCCTACTCCCTCCAGTCGAGGCCTTCTCTACCAATAACCCCCAACTAAGCAAGTCCATCCTTCCTAAACTTCCTCTCAATAAACTCCGCCTTCACCATCCTCCCCGTATAATTGAAAAACCCAGCTTGTAATTGCAACCATTGCGTACTCCTATGTTTTTCCATCAAATACTCCAAAGTTTCGCAATCTTCCGCTGACCATATCTTATCCGGTCGAAGACGTCCCTGTTCATTTCCACGTCCATATTCATTTGTATTTCCCCGCATACGTTCTTCACTATCCTCTTCCTCATCATCTCTATCTCTATCAAGCTCGCCGTAGGATTTGCGCTTCTTCTTCTTCTTCTGGTCTTGTTTTGAAGGAGCCGAAGGCTTGGGTTTGGGGTGGTGGTAGGGACAGTCTGGTGAGATATATATTTCATCTTCGGTATCTTCGTTCTTGTCGTCTTGAGCAGTGCACTTAATGATCTTTTTATTTTCGGTTTTCTTCGGCTTCTGTTCTTCCTCTTCCTGCTCGTCTTCGGTTTTCTCTTGTTCTTGCAAAACTTTATATCTTGCCACCACTTCCTTTTTGCTCATTCCCAATTCCCCAGCGATATCTTTCCAGGTCTTGTTTTCCTTCTTCCTAGCCATGAGTTTCTCATCTTGTTCTTTCGTCCACTCATTTCCATCGATAGGTTCTACTTTTCCACCCTTATCATCTTCTTTAGCCTCGGTAGGTTTCTCGGGGATCGATTCAGTTTTCTCCTTGGGAGCTGTGGCTGTGGCATCAGCGCTTGGTTCTTCAAGCTTAGTACTCTCAGGTTCATCCTCGCCTTTGGATGCTTTCTTTGCATCTTTGTCCTTTTTCTTCTCCTTATCCTTATCCTTGCCCTTGACTTCGACCTCGACAACTACGACCTCGGCCTCAGGTTTCTTACCTTTGTCCTTGTCTTCGACGCTTGGAGCTGCAGCTGTTTCAGGTACAATATCAGCGGTGGGCTCTTCAGCCTTCTCGCTTTCCTTCTCTTCCACTTTCTTCCCTTCCTCTTCTTTCTGCAAAGCCAATGCATGCTCACCCTTTCCATGAGCATCCTCATTTTTCTTCGTCTCAACCGCCTCCTTCTTCTCCCCCGTACCACTCTCCTCAACCACCGTCTCCAAAACCTCTTCCGAAATCTTTGCCTTGACCGTGACATTCGAACCCGCACTCGCACTCCTACTCCTTCCACCTCCACTTCCCTTTCTACCCACCTTCCTCACAACCAACATCTCCACTTCGCCACCCACCAATCCATCTTGATCCCGATCTTCAAGTATTACTACACTTCTCCCATTCTTATCCTTACCTGCTGTCGCCCGAATACGACTATCGCTACGAGCGCGAGTTGTTGAAGAAACACTGGGGGATGAATTGATGGAGAGGAGAGAGCCGCCGAGTACCCAATCGGTGAAGGAAACGTGGAGTTTACCCTTGGATTTGGTATTTACAGTCTGGCTGGTGAGAGAGGCTTGAGTGAGAGCTGGAGAAACCATGGGTGGCATGTTGGCGGTTGTTGGGTTACTGTGAGCTTCAATTTCGATTTGGAATGGAAGTTGGAAATGATGTAATTCTTGTCGAAATCAGGAATAATAGGATGATAAGAGCTTCCAAGATTCACTTCGCTCAGTTGAATAAACTTTACTCAGGGTCGCGCGACGAGAATGAGCTCGAGAATTATTATCCCAATGAATATTGCAAGTGCTATTTTCTCTAGCATCAAAGTGCGATTCTCAATGTGAGAAATATTTGGTGAATTTGTTTGATGTGGATGTTACAAAGTGAGATCGAAGTAGCTGGGTAATGAATTGAAAAATTGATTGGAACTGAAAGAATGGGTTTGGTCTTTGCAATGCAATGGAGAAGTCGCTATTGTTGCAAAGAGGTGGTGAAGGTAAAGTCTTGGCTATGAGATTTGTCTTGCTTGTCCTTGTATTTGGCTGCTACTGTAATTGTTGTTTTTTTGTGTTGGGAGATGGGGAGGAAAGCAGGAGATATAGGCTGGGAAGAGAAAAAATATACTCTTGAGATTTCAATTTTCAAATTTTATTTGTTTGGTTGTGAGAGATATCGTCCAGGCGACCGCCAATGTAAGTTGAAGCATTTAACGAACAACTTAGCCATGCGCCTTGTGAGGCGTGGTGAAAGTGAAGATTGAACATTCAGCATTGAGTGAAAGAAGAAAATATTCTTGTATGAACCTGCGTGTTCGTAGTCAAAATAAATTATGAAATATTAGATATCATCACCTTGAGGAAAAGAACAGTCCAGAGGGAGTGAGAAGTAGTTCTTTGAGAGTTGTTTTATGAGGAACAGCATGAGAGGTTATAAATCATGATTTGATTATCCTGACTTGGTGGTAGTTTTCCTCTCTACCTCAAAAACTAGTAGATATTCCAGTTAGGAAATGTTCAAGTACTACTGTATAACAGAGCCATGAGAGCACTCGCAAACCATGATAAGTCTGGGCTTGCGGAGACTACCATTTACTGGATGGGATTTCCGTTATAATAACGGAGATGTTTAAAGAAGCAGATTTACATCGGTGCACATGGATGATACCTATCACAATTGAAAGGGTCGAGTGAGTGCAGTGCCGGATGGAAGAGCTGTATACCGTTAGCTCTAGAGGGTAACTGTTTTGTGCCATGGAAGAAATGTGAATGTTTCTGAATGGCATTAAAGAGAACCACAAGATTCATGTTACTAAAGACATCTGTGGTCAATTTGGTAAACGAGGTCGGCTTTTTGGTCGGTTTATTTACTTTCTCGTTATAGGCGGACGAAGATGTTCTATTGGATAAAGAGAATTGCTATGTGATAGTGATAGAGCCTGCAGGCCGCAATAGCTGGCTAATTTATGGTGTGACTTGAGATCTATTGGAAGTGAGTATCGTTGTCGGTAACATTCGCCATGAAATATATGGTTGATGATGTTTTCACCGAGTACGTGAGCATTACATGGACGGAGAATTTAGCCTTCGACTCCCTTGAGAGTCAGCTGTTTAGATTACATGTACAGATTTTGGATGATACCATTAAGTTTAGCACACTTTGACACTCACTCTTTGGTTGCATTATCAAGAATAACGAGTCCAATATATGCACTACGTTGATATGAGCAACTTCTGAAATGTTCGCTTTACATCATCGATCATGGATTGATGGGCCATATCCCCAGTAAGTAAACTAAAGAAGTTGCCGTTATGGAGATAACTATTGGAATGTGTCAAGCGGTGACTTCTTGACCGCGGCACAACCTGTTTTGAGTGTTGGTCTCTCCATAGCATGAGAACTTGAGTTAGTTAGTCGCCTGTTGATCAACTACCCACACAAGTTGATAATGATGTAAGTTGATGCAACGCAACATGACATAGTCAAAATCTCGTATAACACAGACGCTTAATGCGGGAGGAAACTTGCGTACTGCTTTTGGATCAATCCAGAGTCGAAGCAAGAGGGATGAAGGAGGCCCAGTCACATGAATAGGGTCAGTAAGACAAACGCGCATCCTCGTAAATACACCAGTGAAGTGGAAGAATTCAACCGCGTAATTATATGACAGGTCATACTATCTCTAATTAGGACCCCCTTTGGAATGATGCCCCACTTCCGGACAAGCCTTAAACCCCGGATGATGTTTGGATATGTGGCCAAGCGGTCGAAGAGGAAAGCTTGACACGAGTTTAAATGCTTGTTTTAACTACACGATGACAAGCTTTCATAATAAGGCTGACCAACATCAAGCACCAATCGGGGATATCGCCACAATGTAAATCTTTTCAATCTTACAAATGGGAATCAATTTTCAACCCGACGATCAACAGCCGTCACATACGCTTTGGGGAAATTCCCAACGAATTGAATTACCTCTTGATTGAGAACGTATTTGAGATCAATAAAAACGTGAACTGTTGAAAGTTTGATGAAATATAGCGTATCCCCCCGATTATGCAGATCATAGTCTGTCTACATACAAATAGGATTTCTAAGTAAGTAAGGGGCAGACAAGCTGAAATTGTTTAGAGTGGAAGTAAGGAGATATGAATACGAGTTTTGTAGCCAGTGTCATATTTTGGCTTCAGCTCGCGCATGAAGTGTGATCTCATGAAGGATTTCTGGAGAATTCCTCGGATTTATTGGACCGAGAAGGGCACATAAAGGCACTGGAAGCTCCAAAAAAAAAACTCGTCACTACGCAAGCTCAAACATTCGGACAAGCTGCTTAGCATCAAACCAGATATTCAATACATACCAAAAATCAAAATGGCAAAACTTCAAACTCTCGTCGCAGCAATGATCTTCAGGTGAGAGGCGAAGCCTTCCCAGTCCGCCCCATCGATAAACTAGACGGTCTTTTACGATTTCAACTAACTCGCGTTTCACATCTAGCGGCGCTGCACTCGCAACACCACAAGGTGGCCCAATCCAAGGGTTGACATCGTGCTTCACATACACCACAACTGTCCCATACACTAAGCCCCGTATGTATAACTCAAATACAACCCTTTAATATTATTGGATGTTTGAACAAAACTGATAATGAATAGATTCATGCCCACTGCAGACCATCTGTCCTGTACACCCTCATTGCCTAGTGCTTGAGGTCAACACGATCACTGTCCCGGCCCCAAACAAATTATGCCCAACTACACCAACTGTGACAGCAACAGGACCAATTACATGTCCACCTTGTCAAAAGGGCTGCATTACACGACTCGAGACCGTTACAACAACCTTGGCAGCATAAGAGATCCCCTAAGGGAAGATGTTTCCATAGCATGGATTGTAGTCCAAGGATGAGTTAGTTTCGGTATTGACATCGCTTGAATTGACGGTATAAAAAGCTTTCTGGTCCGCAAGGCAGAAGTCCCAACTATTGATGCTCATGCTCAGAGATGTCGAATGGAAAGTTTGACTGAATTCTGGAGTGTATGGTCATGACTTTGGAGGGGTTGTTGTTTGATTGATGGCGCAAAACACTTCCATTTGTTTGAATTTTGTAGCAAGAGAATAGAGAACTGCCACAAAGTACGTGCATTTGAATCAGTAGCCCAGTAGTACCAGAAGGAATCCAGTCAATTCGTTTGTTGCTTATCCACTCGGAAAATGCTTGTTTGAGCTCTGTGACCTGAGGAACCAAAGACACTCTGACATGTAGATCGATACTCGTCTGGTAGTCAAAGGGACCCTCCACATTGCTATAATCACTAGACTTGGGTGGTATCGATAGGTTTGGAAAGATGCTACGAACAGTATGAGTGATCGATATGTAGATGTTGATTTAAGAAATTCTGCATACATAACTGATAGTTTGCTCTTGTTTCATTGGGTAGCGGTGGGCTGTACTATGATTGGACCGTTTTTTAGTACGCGGATCCTCGCTAAATGTTCAAACAATTCCCCACCATCTCACAATTTGGAAAATTTTAATCCCCAACTTATTATCGACAAACTTACGCAAATCCTCACCATTAGAACTTCATCAATTCTACTGGAAGACTGTCATCATGTCTAAAATCACAGTCGGTATGTTTGTTTATCCCGCAGTTCTTCGCGAATAAGCTTTCCGTCAAAGGAAATCAATTGAAACAAATACTAACTTTTTCGCCTCACAGCCGGAGTGCGTACCAACGTACAAAGTCTTCTTGAGTACTCTCTCGAGACCAAGAAGAGAAACTTCCTCGAGACCGTTGAGCTCCAAATCGGTCTCAAGAACTATGACCCCCAACGTGACAAGCGTTTCTCCGGAACCGTCCGTCTCCCAGTCGTTCCCCGCCCAAACATGAGCATCTGGTATGTCTATGAAATCGAAGATATATAATTTGAGAGGCAAAGGCTGATAATGGATAGCATTCTCGGTGATCAACACGATATCGATCGTGCCAAGCACGGTGGTGTTGATGCCATGTCTGCCGATGACTTGAAGAAGCTCAACAAGAACAAGAAGTTGATCAAGAAGCTCGCACGCAAGTACGATGCTTTCGTCGCATCCGACACCTTGATCAAGCAAATTCCTCGTCTCTTGGGTCCAGGTCTTTCCAAGGGTTAGCCCCATCCCTTTCTTGATCCTGGGTATCTCTTGCTAATGTTTCTGTTCACAGCTGGTAAATTCCCAACCCCAGTCTCCCACAACGAAGATCTTAGCGGTAAGATCAACGAAGTCAAGTCCACCATCAAGTTCCAATTGAAGAAGGTCTTGTGTATGGGTGTTGCCGTCGGAAACGTCGAGATGACCGAGGATCAATTGATCTCCAACATCATGTTGGCCATCAACTACCTCGTCTCTTTGTTGAAGAAGGGATGGCAAAACGTTGGCAGCTTGACCATCAAGGCATCTATGTCTCCACCCAAGCGCCTCTACTAGATTACTCTTCTCTTTATTGAGCAAGAAGTAAAGAATGGAAATATTGCAGGTAGCTAGCTGAAAACTCAATACAAGCAATAAATATTCTACGACCAATCATATTTCTGCGCAACGAGTGATGTTGAGACCTGATTCGATACAATTTTTGATAATTTTGATTACAATCGTAAATATTGATAATGTCACTATTCTAGTTTGCCTCCGAGTGTTTGCCGTCTCTGGGTTTCGGCATTTTCACACAGCCTAGCAAATCAATCCGGCTCGCTGGCTTCCGAGAAGATAAATATTCTCATCTTGGACAGCTTGCAAGCCGACCTGAACTTACGATTATTGATGCAGCTGTAGGTAGCGAAGACGCTACCATCGCACCAAATCCTTGAAAGGGCATACATATATATATATGCGTATGCAGACTCCAGAGACTGCAGAGCGAATACTGTGCTGAATCTGAAATCCCAGTTCCTTGGCTCTTGAGTATGGAGAGCATGCAGTGAATATCTCAAGTGAGCACAACATGTTCATAAATTACTTACTTGCATTCCCGTTCCTGTAAGGGAAACCGGAGACGAAAACCGAATTACAAGGTATATACACTGCAGAAATGTTGGGCGCACAAACTTTGAATAATCAATCACCATCCCACTAAATATTTCACCGTACGGGGAATTTATCAACCACCACACCACAAACACAGCAGCCATAAGGCCACGTCGATAGATAGAGTCAGTACACAAGCGCACAAAAAAAGCAATTGAATCTACCCAAGAAATTCTTTTACAATATCATACGCAATGAATGATGCAATCAATGTGCGTCTTTACTACAAATGCGATGGCATAGAGTAAAGTATGTAGAGACCACCCCACAGTCAAAATCCGATAGAATCGTCGAAGACGGCTGATAAGGAAGAGTGTTCACCTTCTCTCAAGGGGGCCGGGAACGGAAGAAAACCCAACTTTTACTTCGAAGAAGTAAAGGATAACCCTCAGCAAGTCGCCGTAGCGAAGCCCCCATGTAAATGTTATAAGTATTAATTATAACCTCTACTGATGATGAAGAAGAAAAGAAAGAGGGATTCCGGGAGGTGAGCGACATCTTTATAGTGAAAAAATTTCCGTTAGCTTTTTTAGCGCGCTTTCGATCCAGTTTGTCATGTTTGCTCTGCTCTGTAAACGAATTTGTTCGATTTGACACACGTGACTTTATTCACATTTTCTGTGTAACCCAAACAAAATATCAATTCTTTTAAAACACATTTCCCCCTTCATTTGTCGAACCACAAGCAAGAGTACACAAGTCAGCCTCAGATACAGACAGGTATTCATATCATCCCATTCCGAGTCCCGAGAGCGAGGCTTCTTCCATGTCTGAAGACTCAGACAACCGCTTGTCAAATGAGTGTCAATCAATCTCAATTCTCTGGAGGTCTAAACTCACTCCATATTGATACCAGAGCATGCGGAGCTGCATCACTTCCTTCGGAATGTCACACAGAACTATTCCCAGCTTTCTAATTATTTGTTGTCTACTTTTCGTCTCTGCATCACGATAATGTTCAACGGCGATGCTCCATCTGTCAATGGACACCTGCTTTGACATAGGATGCTATTATCCGTCACTCTATTCTGCATTTTTTACCTCAATACTTGGCCGGAATCTCTCAGTTCCACCCATCATCATCGGGCGTTCACCAAGCCCTGACAAAGGCAAGAAGCAAAGCATGGATCAAATCCTTCTACAGTTTCCCTTGTGCTTGATGGAGACCAAAGCATGCCAAGTCACTCTCCCATTGGTCTGATTTGTGGATAGACACTTGATGAAATTGAGTATGTACACCCGAGTACAAAGGCACCCAAAGAATTCTCCTAGGCAAATACCATTTCAGTACATCTAAGTAGTACTTAAAACCCCCCTCTTCTGGTTCCACGACAAATAATCGGTACACAGCACCCGGGTCCTCATTATCAAATTTGGATTGGCTAGAGATGATCATTTACTCCGATAACTTTTTTCTGTGATTCCAGAAACAATGTTATTTTAGGATTCTTGGATTTTCACAATCATCAATTTATTGTCTAGCTTTGCCAGTTTTGTCGTTTCGATTATTCATGTCCCGCATGGGGTGTGTCATGGATTGGGTGATATCATCGCTTAGATCGATTTCTTCTTTTCGCCATCCCTCAGTAATCCAGTGAATGGTTGAGCATTGGTTACTAATGGTTTTGGTCGATCACTCATTAGTAACAACTTACACACACATATATACTTCCGGTGTAGGGGATCTATGTGACGCCCTTTATTTTGACGACCCACGCCTTGTGTACAACAAGCACATCAAATTCGGTTCCTTTTCTTTTCTTTTCACCACTGCATATTTCTGGCAGGGTAATGATTTTGCGCATTGCCAATTTTGAGAAATTTGAAGACGAATTATCATCCCATATTCTTATACAACTTTTCTTTTACTTTTTTGCTTTTTATTCATTCAAATGTCAAAATAAATGGAGATCGAAGAGAAGACATTATCCTCTCCCCCATCCTTAGATATACCACACATCTACAAAACCACTCAGGGACCGGTTCGAGGTCGTTGATCACCGCCACATTAAAGGTGGAGAAGCAGGAAATTTAAGTGAATACAACACCATCGCATCTACATCATCTAGATTCAATTTCAAAAAACCAAAAAGTTTTCGATAATATGACGATGGATCGAAGTAACAATGACTCTGTTGGGAATTTTGAAATCCCATCAGAAAGTGAGCATCAAACCACGGGGCACACCAGTCGAAATAGCGACAATAACGCCCACCCGAGTTTACATATGGGGGATTTATTAGAAGAATCCCCGGAGGTTAGGATCGAAAAGCTAGGTAGGCAAAGGCCGGAGATCTTCAAATCACTATGGGCAGAGATCGGATTTGTCTTTTCAATTTCCATGTCACAGGTCCTGACGGTAAGTTCTGAAAATTGTTTTTATATCTTTATCTGTCACCAGATTCTAACAGTAAAGAAGGAATATTTCGTGTCTGGTTTCACAGTTATCTTGCCGACTTTAGTCAAAAATCTGGAAATACCATCGGCTTCCGCGACCTGGCCTGCCAGTGCCTTTTCGCTCACTCTGGCCTGCTTTCTTCTAGTGTTCGGTCGTCTATCGGATATGTATGGGGGCTACCCGGCATATGTAGCAGGGTTCATTTGGCTTGCATTGTGGAGCCTGGTAGGTGGGTTCTCTACCGATCTTATAATGCTTAATTTTTGTCGAGCACTACAAGGCCTGGGTCCAGCGATGTATCTACCTTCAAGTGTAGCTCTTATAGGCATTATATATCGACCAGGACCACGGAAGAACTTAGTTTTCGCAGTCTATGGAGCATGTGCGCCGCTGGGATTCTTCGTGGGAATTTTTTTTCGC